AGGAGCTTGAAGGGAACTCACATCAATCCGGGTTTCCAAGCAAGTTTCCATCACCTCTAGCACGAATCTGCCTGACCAGACCCCCCTGGCCCGTGCGTGGCTCCGCACGACCAGTCCCCCTGGCGTGGATCTGTCCAACCAGACCCCCCGGCGCAGTTCTGCTCGAACAGAGCACCCCGGCCTGCGCGCAGCTCTGCCCTACTAGACCTTGCAGCGCACGCGCGGATTTGTTCGACCAGACCCCCAGCACGTGGCTTCGCACAACCAGACGCCCCCGGCTCGCGCACAGATTTGTATGACCAGAACCCCCTGGCACGCGTGCGGCTTTGCCTGACCAGTCCCCCTCGACTTGCGTGCGGATCCGTTTGACCAAACCCCCCGACGCGCAGGGCTTTGCACGACCAGACGTCCCCGACGCGTGCGACTCCTTCGACCAGACCCCCATGGCGCACGCAGGTCTCGTCCGACGAGACTCATGGTGAAACTTTGAGAGAAAGAGAGAGTGAAGAGAAGGAGAAAGAGATGCGAGAGATGTGAGAGACTAGAGAAAGAGAAAGAGACGTGAGAAAAGTGAGAGTTGAACGAAAAAAAAAGAGACGTTGATGTTACCATTGAGAGACGTTGGAGAGATGTTGGTGTTGTATGTATAAATTGATGTTCAATATTCAATTCATTTGCACTCTATTGTTCGGTTTATTCGCACTTTTCTGTCCAAGTTTACTATTTATTTCAAAAATTTTACTATTTACATTTACTATTCACATAAAAAAAAGTTTTATTTTATTTTTGTTCATCTGTAATTTTTTGTTTATTCTAGCACATGATCCAAATCAATATAATTTTCAATATTATTTTAATTATTTACAATGAGTTAAAAGTATACTTTTAAAAGAAAAAACAATGAGTTTAAGTTGAAAATCTTTTTCTTTTCGCTGAAGAATAGTAAAAACAAAATATCTGGTTGAACCCAGAGCCAGATGCCACGGCAAACTGAGCCATGTTTTTTCAATAAAAAAAATAACGGAAAATTTGTATTCGAGCATGCCTAAAGCCAAAAGAGTGTCGATTGCAACAAAATCAGCGAGTTCCATTGAAGAGAGCAGCAGTAGCAGCAGCAGCAGATAGCAACTCACTAACACCATGATGGCTTCACACTCTATATTCCTCCCCAAAACAAACCCAAGCCTTCTGCACATGCCCAACACCACTCTCTGTTCCATTAACCCACGTGCTTATTCCAGGAAACACAAGGGTCGGTTCTCTGTTTCTTGTTCTTCGTCTGAATCGTACGACATCGTCATAGTGGGAGCAGGCGTCATTGGCTTAACCATCGCTCGCCACTTCCTCCTTTCTTCCGACCTCTCTGTCGCCATCGTCGATAAGGCTGTCCCTTGTTCTGGTGCCACTGGCGCAGGTAATAACTGACCTCATTTTACCATCTATTTCTCTTCACTCTTCCCTTAGATTCTCCAATGTACCACGCTACTCTGTGAATGTTTCCTTTGGAGAAAACAATGACCATAATGTTGTTTCTTTCTTTGATTGGTGTTCTTACAATAGGCGCTTGCATCCACCATGGGTACGCAGATTGTTTGATCAAATATGACGGGTTTACTAACTTCTGCACCATGTTTGTGTTTGGTGAATGCTAGCAAAATTGATTTTGAATGGATTTATGTTCGGATATTTTTATTCTAAATAAGGCTATGTAGCGAAGTTTAGTATAAAAAGTTTATCTAACGCAAAATCTACTTAAATTGCTTTAACTAGGATCAATTTTAGACTGAGAATCAATTTCTAACATGGGATAAAACATGTGAATATTTATCAAAAATCAGGTTGGCTGGTATTTTGATGTGATTCTAGATAGTTCAACGTGAATCCAAACATGCATAGCTATTCGTCTCATTGTTTTTTATTTTCTTTTTTTGGTGCTGAGTTTTGATTGATTGAACTTCTTCCCCTTTGTTTTGAATTTGAGCTGGTTGTTTATAGGGCAGGGACATCTGTGGATGATAAACAAAACCCCTGGCAGTGCTACATGGGATCTTGCGTGGAGGAGCCATCAACTTTGGAAGACGCTGGCGCAGAGCCTAGAAGAGCATGGCTTGGATCCTGAAGTGGAGTTGGGTTGGAAACAATCTGGTATAATACCTGTATCTTTCTACAAATATCTGTTTGTGCTGAAATTTGGAAGGGAGTCATGCCGATGTGGCTCAATGAATTTGAAGCTGTATGCAAAATTTCAATCTTTTAATTGTGAAGCATTGGTGCAGATGTTGCATTATAGGAGTTGGGTGAGCAAAATGAAGTTTATGGTTAAGTTGTAATTATGAATTTCCATTAGAAAAATGCTAGGAACACACTTTTCTAATAAACTATCATTGATCCAAATTTCGGAAATCACAAAAATTCAGGAGTTCCATTTCTTATTTAATAATATACTATTATTGATCCAAATTTCATTGGAAATCACAAATTCAAGAGTCCCATTTCTTATTTAATGGATCTCATGATTTTATAGTTTTCAATAAATTTTGGTCAATAATAAAAGTTCATCAGAAGGAGTGCGATGCTAACACTCCTCTACATTCTATATTCAATTTCTTAGCTACATTATATAGAACCCACCCTACAAACAAAAACCACAAAAATATATATAGTTTTGTCGGAAGTGTTGTGGGAGCTTTGTTTCCGCTGCCCAAAAATTAGAAAAATCAGAGTTGTGGCCATCCTCTCCATCGCTGTTGGAGTCAACAATGAGCCAAAAAGGAGCATCCATTGCCGCCGGCGATCACAACACCAAGTCTCATAATCAGAAACCTCCTCATGTGTTGCCACATCCTGCCATAGTTCACCTCGTTTTTTGATGTGTGTAGGACATGAGCCCATCTCCAACGAGATCCACTCGCCAACGACCACCCAGACAGGTTCACCAGTGAAACCCCAACCCATTCCAAGGGGTGGTGTCGTCTAGATCTTTTCTGTTTAACATAGATTTGTGTTCTTTGTCTATTTCTTGTTGTTTATTTCTTTTTATGTTCATCCATGCGTGATGAAAATTCTCCTTCCTTTCAATTGGAATGGGATATTACAACATGTAAGGAAGAGATTGATCATCTAAGAATAATATTGAATCTATGAGTAAGGCCTTTGACTCATGTACACTGTCCATGGAGGTTGAGAGTACTTTCTATACTTCTGGTTTTGTTTCTTAGGGAGTTTAGATTCTTGATTCAGGAGCAACAAATCACATGACCCCTTTTCCTTCACGCTTTGCATCATATTCCGAAACAAATGCCAAAGAACTCATTATGGTTGCTAATGGCGAAAATGTGCCCATTATTGGTTGTGGCAACATTCGACTTGAGCCCTCTATTTTCTTACATAATGTTTTACATGTCTCGGAATTGACTAATAGTCTTATTTCTATATAAAAGCTCACTATAGACTTGAATTGTTCAATAACATTTTTTCATTCTCACGATTCCTTTTAGGACTTGGCCATGGGAAAAATGATTTTATTTGCTAAAGAGTAGAGTGAGTTGTATTTCCTAGAGCAAAAAAAGAATGGTGACAAACATGGAGTCAACCATTTTTTCATTCTCACGATTCCTTTTAGGACTTGGCCATGGGAAAAATGATTTTATTTGCTAAAGAGTAGAGTGAGTTGTATTTCCTAGAGCAAAAAAAGAATGGTGACAAACATGGAGTCAACCTCAAGCTACCATGTGAAGATTGATACTTGGGCCACCTCTCAAATATGGCTTCAACAAAAAAGACTTGGACATCCTCCATTTGGTCTTATTTAATCTTTGTTTTCGTATTCGTTTACAAAAGTTTCTGTTGATTCGTTTAATTATGATGTTTTTCAGTTGTCTAAACACCATGGTTCTTCTTTTCCAATTAGTGGTAATAGGAGTTCTTTCCCTTTTGATTTAATACACTCTGATATGTGGGGACCTGTTGCGGAATCTATCTTTGATGCTAAATGGTTTGTGACGTTTATTGATGACTGTACACGGATAACATGGACATATCTTATGACAAATAAGTATGACTAATGATGATGGGAGGAGGTATGGGTCGAGGAAAACAGGTCATGAGTCATACTGCTCACCCGATGCAAGGAGTGCCTGGAAGAATGCCAAACTCCAATACAGGGCCTAGTCGAGTTAATACAGGAGGGTATGGGCGCGGTTTTCGACAACCTTTCAGCAACCCGACTAAGAATCAGTGGAGGAGACAGCAAAGGATGAGGAAAGCTACTTTTGAAGGTATTAAGGGAAATCGTTTTTCGATTCCGGTACCCCAAAAAGGGGAATCCTCTCAAAAGTTCTTGGAGGATGATGAAGATATGATTACAGACTGTTTCGAGAGCGGATTTGAGGATTCTCTAGAAGATATCTGTGGAATAGTGTCTATTTTGCCAACTGAGTATGTTGGGGCCATGGAGGCCGTGAATTTTTTTTAATTTCTGATTCTATTATATTTTTATTAGGCTGTCTTTGTCTTTGATAATCAGTTTAATCATGAGCCAACCAATCTCTGCTGGAACTGAAACTAATCCCAATTCTGGTCCCACTCCTAGAACAGAAATGTTTAAGCCCACTGGTGACAATATTGATGTCTTTTGGAAGTGGAACAGCTTAAAAGACAAAAATAATAGGAAGAGTGTCACGTGTGATTTTTGTCTGAAAACATCTACTGGTGGAATTACTAGAGCAAAAAGACATCAACTTGGAATAAAAGGCGATGTAGGTGCTTGTAGAAAAATTCCTGAGGATCTAAAATTGGAAATGAAGGCTGCCTATGAGAGTAAAAAAATTGCCTCAGAAGTATATATGGAGTGCGTAGATGAAAATGAAGAGGAGGATGACATCCAAGCCATTGCTAGAATTAAGAGACCTTCATCTACATCAAGTGAAGCCACTTCTGTTTCCAAGAAGAGGGGTATAAATGTCAAAGGTCCCCTTGATTTGCACTTTACTAGAAAGGCAGAAGAAAGTATCAAATTGAATAAGGGGTTGTGGCAAACAAGTTTAAATGATGCTTGTAACAAGGAAGCAAGAGCAAGGGTAATTCAATACATTGCTCGCTTTTTTTATCGGAATGGAATTGCATTTAATGTTGCTAGATCAAAGAGCTTCAAATTGATGGTTGAAGCTATTGGCACCTATGGTCCCCATTTAAAGCCACCAAGCTACCATGAATTAAGAGTGCCACTCCTTAAAAAAGAGTTGGAATACACCAAGGGCTTATTGAAGGGCCATGAAGAAGAGAGAGTAAAATATGGGTGCTCAATTATGTCTGATGGTTGGACAGATAGGAAAAGTAGAACTTTGATTAACTTTTTGGTTAATAGTTCAATGGGAACAATGTTTGTGAAGAGTGTGGATGCTTCTGAATATACCAAGACCGGTGAGAAGGTGTTTGAACTTTTAAATAGTTTTGTTGAGGAAATTGGAGAGAAAAATGTTGTTCAAGTAGTAACAGATAATGGAAGCAATTATGTTATGGCGGGTAAGAATCAATTATATTCTAATTTTATACTCATACGATTATAAGATATAAATTCTAATTTTAATTATTTTGTTATTGTGTTTTTAGGCAAAATTTTACAAACTGTGAGACCACATTTATTTTGGACTCCATGTGCTGCTCATTGTCTTGATTTGATGCTAGAAGATATTGGAAAGATCCCTAAAGTCAAAAGGGTAATACAAAGAGGCATCAAGCTCGTGGGTTACATTTATAATCATACCTTGACCCTAAACACCATGAGGAAGTATACAAATAAGGTTGAATTGGTGAGGCATGGAGTTACAAGATTTGCTACCACCTTCCTTACTTTGCAACGATTGCATAAGTTAAAGGCAAATCTTAGAAGGATGTTTACTTCCGACGAATGGTTGCAATCAAAAGGAGCCAAAGAACCTAAGGGGAAGAAAGCAACGGAGATTGTTCTTATGCCTACATTTTGGAGTGATGTTGTTTATGCTTTAAAGGCTATGGGGCCTATTGTACGTGTGTTGAGGTTGGTAGATAATGAAAAAAAACCGGCAATGGGTTACATTTATGAAGCAATGGAGAGGGCTAAGGAGGCAATTCAAAATTCTTTTAATCATAATGAAGAAAAATATAAGGATATATTTGCAATTGTTGATAGAAGATGGGATTGTCAACTCCATCATCCGTTGCATGCAGCAGGATATTATCTAAATCCTGAGTTTTATTACAAAAATTCAACAAGAATGGATGCTGATGATGAAGTGGTGGATGGCCTTTTCAAATGTATTGATAGGCTTTGTGAAAATAATGACATTGTAGACAATGTTCACAATCAATTGGCAATATATAAAAGGGCAGGAGGAAGATTTGACATTCCTGCAGCAGTTAGAGCAAGGGTTAAAATGGCTCCTGGTAAGTGAGACTTTTCTTAAGCTTCAACTTCACTTACAAATTTTATAGTTATTTGATAATTTATTTATATAATAATATTTGCATTTATAGCTGAGTGGTGGAAGATGTATGGAGGACATACACCACATTTGCAAATTGTTGCCATTAAGGTACTAAGCTTGACGTGTAGCTCATCTGGTTGTGAGCGTAATTGGAGTACCTTTGAGCATGTAAGTTAATGAATTAGTGGATTTAAATTTGAGTTTACTATTGAAAATGGAAAATTAACTAACATCATGTTGTTAAATTATTATAGATTCACTCAAAGAAGAGAAGTAAGCTTGAGCACCAAAAGCTTCAAGACTTGGTTTTTATTAAATATAATCAAGCTCTTCAAGAACGCTTTGAGTGTCAAGATCCAATTGATCCAATTGCTTTGAATGAAGTTGATGATAACAATGAATGGATGTTGGGAGAAGAAAATGATGAGGATGAATTTGAAGATGACTTGGTGTTTGATGATGATGTTTTGACTTGGAGAGATGTTGCCCAAGCAAGTGGTGCCGGTGAACCTTTGAAATACACTAGGAGACAAACACAAGTGAACAAGACATCAACAATTGCATCTACATCCAAGAAAGATAAAGGAAAAAAAGTGATGGAAGTACTAGAAGACGAGGATGATGATGTAGAGGAAGAAGAAGAATATAATTCTAATGCTAGTGGGAGTGATGAATTTGAGG